TCGAGTTCACCGAACTTTGAAAACCGAACAAAGTTCGGGTTCGGGCCGAACTTTCAAATTTACCGAAGTTCGGGTTCGGTGTTCGGTACCGAACGAAATTTTGAGTTCGGTCGGACTCTACATATTATGATTAAAATTATGATTGTAGTCTAAACATATTATCGTTATTGTAACAATTTTAAAATATCATATGATTAAATACCCTCAAAATATTTCATCAGGACATTTTTGTATTTATCATAATATGGTTATACATGATATTATGATCCAATGTGATAAAATTTCGTTTTAAATATGTATCGAAATCAAAATGAATTTTTTCGAATCAGTAAAATAAATTTTTAAAAAAATAAAAAATATATATACAATACTTAACACAATTCGCAAATTTCAATTTGCCAATTTATATGAAATTTTGGTTCATAAAAAATTTAAGTATAATTTCATAAAAATACTAGCATTTTAAGACTGTTATGAACGTTAGTAATTTTCTAAAGCGAACATTATATGGAGGCCATGTCCAAATGTAAACCGATTTTGTCCATTTTGAATACCAATCAAACTGCAACAATAGTTTAGGTCCTACCGTTCTTTCAAGAGACTGACAGACTGACTGACTGACAGACATGTCTAGATCGTTTGAGAATAAGAACCTAGAAAATTTCGATGTTACAAATGAAATCAAAGATTTATAATCGAAACTAGATAATTCAAATTAAATGTTTCACTTTTCTTAGCTTTTAATCAGTTTCTGGTTAACAGTTTTTCAAATCAGCCGAAAAAACGAACGGTTAAAAAGGCGTTTTGTACCTATGTATATCCGAAATTTATTGTACTGCCAGGATGTATGATAACTCCTGTAAACAGATTTTCAGCATTTTAAAACTTTTTGATGATATAAAAATATAATAAAAAAAAAACATTTATAAAAAGTTCGGCGGTACTACTTTGATTGTTTCTTAAATAAAATTAAGAAACATGAAAAAAATTCTTCAAACTGTTAAATTATCTATAAAATTAATTTTTAAGACGATTTTGAACTGAAAAAGTTTTAAATCCATCTACTGATAACGATAATATACCGATCTTTGGACCAAATTTCGAGCAAAATTTCAATATTTGGCAACTCAAGCCGTCCGCGGATGTTAAAAAGGGACTTAAAAAATCATGGAATCTTGATTAATAGATAGAATAATGATAAACTAAGTACGTAAATAACTGTTTGGTAATTTATACTAATAAAGAAATGGTATGATTCATTGTAAAAAATACAACATAAAATTCTAATAAAAGGAAATAAAGTTTATGTTTTTTATTTTATTATCCTTTTCTGCAGAAATATGCGTTTATTTTGTGAAAAAATAATAAAAGTGAAAATTGTATGTGACATTTTGATACCATTATTGTACTCGGTTTAATTGCTTCATCTGTAATATCCCTGCGGAGTTCTGAATTTTAAAAATTTGCATATTTGTTGAACTTTTTTTGTTAGAGTTTTTTAAAGACCTACAAAAACTATAAACAAAAGTTCAAATTTGCCTTCTTTACCGGATGATATACATCTGAAACTATTAATTTAATGGATAAAAACTGTGTTTTTTTCTTGTTTTCTTGGCATCAAATTCGGCATTGTTTGATCAGTAGAAGTATTTTAAAATATTTTTTGAAAAAAGTACTTTTTAAAATTTTGAAGGAAAGGACACAGGATCACGAAATGAAAAACAGAAAACGCAGTTTTGTTTATAGTTTATGACGTATATCATCCGTCGTGTCTAATATATATATATACCCAGTAAAAAAAGTGAGGAAAAAGAAGTAGAATTTTCACCGCAAATAACATACTTGAAGTACTTCCAATTTTGGTGAAAAACCTATGAATTTTACATTAGCGTGTCATTGGAGGGATTTTGTTCATTTTTGACAAAATCCGATATTTGGATGTCAAAAATAAACCACATTCTTTCAATGACACGCTTATGTAAATTTCATTGGTTTTTCACCAAAATTTGATGTACTTCGAATATGTTATTTGTAGAGACCTTTCAACATCTCTTCTCTGTGCTGGGTATATATATATATATATATATATATATATATATATATATATATTATATATATATCCTATCTTATTCTCCTCTATATTCTCTATTATCTATATATCTAATCTCTCTCTCTATCTATATATCTATATAGATATATAGTATATAATAGATTTTTTTTTTTGCTTCATCATATTTTATTTGTATTTAATAAATTTGGCATTGAAAAAAAATAAAAGAATGATGACTAGGGTCTATTCCCAATATTTCTTAAACGGCGTTTTGTATTCATTTCTTAAGGATTTAATTATAAATTAAATCTCCATTAATAATATTCTTTTACCTTTGTTTCTTTTATATAAGTTCTGACAGCAGATTTCAGTAATAAATATTCTTTGGTTAAATTAAACTTGTTTAGCAGTCCATCCATATTGATATTTAATCCCCCATTTTAACCTCCAAGAACGGGTTGAAATTTCAAAATAGCGAAGTTTGCTCGAAGTTTGGCTCAAAAATTAGTGGATTCGAGTGGATTCAAAACTTTTGTTCCCGAAATCTTCTCATGAACTCATTTTTAGATAATTTAACTATTTGAAGTAATTTGATTCACAATTTGAACTTTTTATTTAGGAAAATTTAAATGTAGATGCTCTGAATCAGCTTTCAGAACTATATGGTAAACCAAGCGTTGAAAAAAACAAACGTTAACATACATAACAAGAGTAAAAGTATATTTTTATAATGGAGATTTCATTTATAATTAAAATTTTCAAAAATAAAAACAAATACCCCATTTAAGAAATATTAGGATATGTAATACTATAAATCATGTATATTATTTTTTCCAATGCCAATTTTTATAAATTCCAATAAAATACGATGGAGCAAAAAAACCTCAAAAATGTATATACAGCGAACGTCAAAAGAAAGTGTATAGCTATAATTATTGATAAACCCGTAAATGGTCCACAAATTTTTTGTTTTGCTTTGCTTCTCAATAAAATATATCTCCAGAAGTAATGATCAGAGTTTTGACCCACTTTTGTAAAATTTATCCAGTTTTGTTGATTAATTTTTGATATGAAAGTAAGCTTTCTTAACCCTTTCACGCACAAAACTAAACCGCTGGAGTTTTTATGGATATCACTGCACCACACACTTTATTTTGACGTATATTTATCATTTTTTGAGGAAAAATTAAAAAGTGTTTTCAAAGGATATCGCAGGATATTATCCTTTTTAGCATGTAGTGGCATAAAATTCTAAAAATTAAAAAATCGAGAAAAATTAAAAAAAAAATCTTGGGACACCGGTGTATACGTGAAAGAGTTTAGAGGCTTTCTGGTATGTAGAGTGTTTATTAAAGTGGTTTTTGAATTGAACTTATATCCACTTAGGGAATTGGGCTTCGGTCCTCACCATTTTTGCCGTTCTTTAGCGTTAGTAAGCCATTTTAGTAGTCCTGGTTAACGAAAATTCCTAACCGTATGATATCATACACAATTGTTCACTGACTATTTCTGACAATTTGTCACATTTCGCGTAAATATTGATTTTTTTTTTAAATTGGAAACGATACATTTATACATTATTAAAATTTTTTATATTTGAACTTATTTTAACAAAATCCGAATAAACTGCAAAACAACATAATTACTCCATTCGGTTGCTTGCCTAAGTACCGTCTTTCGAAGAAATTTAAGCATTTCCGTAATACATTCGAAGAACGAAAGAGCAATGCATTGTACACTTTTTTATGACGCGTAAAATCAGCACTATTTTTAGAAAACATTTATAATCTAAGCCTGTGTTTTACTTTGGGCAGCTGTTTGTTCACAGTTATATTCGTATTATCAAATAAGGTAGTTTCTATTATTTTTTCACCACTGTATTTTAAACACTTGCGAAAAAGGTGTTTAATTTGTAATTGTTAGTGGTCCAGTTAGATAGGCTTTAGCTAATTAACAAAATTAGATATTAAAAACATATTGAAAAGTTATAGCCGCATCCAAAATTTATATATTTGTTTATAAACCTCAAAACTAATGTTTTCAATTATATTTATTTGATTAGTTTTTGTAAAAATTGACATTTGCGTGAAGTATTTTAAAAGAGTAGTAAAATTACTTTAATCAAAGTGAGGTTCCCTTAAAAAATATAATAAACTTTATAACAATAATATTTAAATTGTTATACTCCAAAATTATGAAATGGTGAACTATAGCAGGTTGTGTTTTATACCTATAATCTAGTTTATTTATTTATTCATTTATTTTGTAATATTAAGCCTTCGCGGCCAAAAATAACAATATTACATTACATCTGTTGGCTCCCCAGCCGTAAATAATACATATATTAATAATTAATTGAAAATTAAATGCAAATAAAAAGTCCCAATCAGCAACAAAACATATATATATCAATATATAATACACTAGGTGGCATCCTGGCATAGTTACCAACTACTATCAATAATAATGTCAAACATTTTGACATTTATACATATGTACATATACATTTTATTATTTCCTTCTAACTTCCCTGTATCCGGTTGCGAATACAAAACACAATATGATTGAAATAAGATAGAAAAAAAAAAAAAAATATATATATATATATATATATATATATATATATATATATATATATATATATATATATATATAATATATATATATATAAGAAAATAAAATGTTCGTGTCGAATATAAAATATTTAATATTATATAATAAGTATCCCAAATATTTTTTATAAGAAATATAAAATTTATATAATATATTCAAAATAATACGACTTTTTGTGATAGCAAGTGTTTTACGGATTAGTTTTTCAAAGGATCTATGCAATTATAATTTAATTTAACCGATTGTATATATACAGATATAAAATAATTTCGTCTCAAAAATAAGAGTGACATAATTTTGAGTCGCGTTATATCAAAATAATAATCGCATTATCCAAAAATATTGTAGTTATTCCACCAAGTACAAAATTTATTTAAAATATATGTACGTTAAAATGCAGGACAATAGTATAGAGAACAATATATAAAATAATAATATTTGTGTAGAAATACAAATAGTTATATTTACAAAAAAATTTTTGGAGCTGAACGTAAAAATTGCTAAAAATAACTGTACAATAAAATAAAATTTCAATGAATGTACTTTTGTTTTGACACATTTTAATGATTGTCTATAATAATTTATCAGTGTTAAACGTAAAGTGGAAGCAAGTAAAATTATTAAAAATTTGGACCCGATTAACGCAGGCGCACAATGCTAGCAGCGAATTTGCCAGTATGCCAATATGCTGGAATGGTAAGATTTTAAGTTTCTTTCTTATATATTCAAATAGGTATTTTTTATATTTTATAGGAAACAATATTGATCTGAAAGTAATTTCATTCACAATAATAAACCTTACATTCAAAATGTAAAATAAAGAATTTCTATTTACAAATTGTACGTACATTTCACTCATATGTATATAAATAATTTCGTAATTCAGAGTTTGGGTTCTTTGAATTGAGTTTTTTTTTATTAATTCTTCCGTTACATAACCGAGCCCATAGGGCCTTATATGGCTAATTAAAGCTACTAAATACATAAAACTACAAAATATATACTTATATACATTTGTAAATTAAAAATATTATTATTAAAATATAAAACAAATATTCATTGATATTTATATATGGGCATTTCCACCGACCCCAAAGCTCTTCTTAACCACTATGATGAGAAATCGGATTCGAAAGTTACAATAATATTTCAGGCATATTTTTCACCTTTAGTTGCGTTTTCTTTTAATAGTTTTTATTATTTTAAAGGACTTTTATCGGAAAATATTTGTTGGAATACTAGTTATCATAAAGCATACAAATAAAAAAATTATAAAAAAAATTATAAATCGAAAATTTGCCTTTTTACGGAAAAAAGGCAAATTTTCGATAATTGTCACGTTCGTCACGTTGAAACAGGATATTTTTCGGTAACTTTTTAGTTGTCATTCAGAAGTGTTCAAAACTTTGAATATAAATCAAGTTTAGTATATAGAACTTAATTTAAAATATTAAAATTTTAATTCTAATTATATGTAGAATTTCAAAGTTTGTCACATCACGTCACATTACGTAAATTTTCAGAAGTGCTACCTTCGAATTGTGAAATATTGGTATTTAAAAAGATGTGATATTTATGCTATTTATTTAATTAGGTGATAGTTATGAATTTTTAGCTGATAAATGGATGAAAAAGCATAGAAATTCAACAAATGATCTTTATGGAGTTTTGGATATGGGAGTTATGAGCGATTATTGTATTATCATCAGAAGGGTCAGTAATATGATTCATGTACATTTGAAAGTTTTTAGTTTTTTTTTGCTATGCCTGATCAAATTGGGTTGAACAAAATTATTTGTGTTGAATTTTATGTTAATATAAGCAATTTTTTAAAAGATTTATATTAATTAATGTTAATTCTTATATTATTCTTATACGGGAACTAGTTTCAACTAGAATAAATTAAAAGCAACTTCTATTTTTGTCACATCACATCACGCACTTTAACTACTTAAGTATGTATATCTTAGGGACATTAAGTTCTTTCAATTTCTTCTTTCGACCAATTATAGAGCTATTGAAGCCCTATATATATATATATAAATACAAGAAATTTTATTTTAATTTTTAATTTGATTTATTTCAATATTAAACCTAGCCTATTGACCATAATCGGTTACAAATTTCTGCTTAAAAAATAGGTATACATAAAAAAATATATTTATACTAGCTATACCCAGTGTGCTTCGCTACCCTCATCATAATGGAATAAAATAAATATAATTATTGTAAATGTATATATATATATATATATATATATATATATCTGCAATATCAAAAAGTCACCTTTTAGAGAACTCTTTTAGTTTGAATTTATGATTCTAGTCTCAATGTTACAGAAAATTAAAAAAACAGCTGAAGTACGAAAAAGTACCAGACAGTGCCCTTTTATAGATTTTCATTAAATCAGGATGACACATGTTTAATTTTCAACCAGAAAAAAAAAATCGCATACAGATTTTTATACAATCAGGAAGCTGCGTGACCAATTTTTTTAGGTTCAATATTATAGAAAATTCGAAAAGTATTAGAAAAAGAACAAAAAAGTACCAGAAAATAATCCAGTTTAAATTTTCATTCACTCAAGTCTCTGATTGCTTAGTTTATGTTCCAAGGTTCATTATAATAGAAAACTCAAAAAGTACCAGTTGAAGAATGAAAAATTACCAAAAAGGGGGCCCTTTTATAGATTCTCATTAACTCCGGGCTCCACAAGCTTAATTTCATATTTCTAGGATCAATATTATAAAAAACACAAAAAGCACCTTTTAAAGAACGAAAAAGTACCAAAAAGTCCCCTTTTATAGGTTATCACTTAATCCGGGCTATACATGCTTAATTTCTTGTTTCTAGGTTCAATATTATAGAAAATTCAAGAAGTACCTTTTGCTTAATTTCACGTTTATAGGTTCAATATTATACAAAAATTCAAAAAGTACCTTTTGAAGAACGAAAAATTACCAAAAACTCCCCTTTTATAGATTCTAATTTACTCCGTGCTCTACATGTTTATTTTTATGTTTCTATGTTTAATTTTATAGATAAATCAAAAAGTACCAGTCGAAGAAAGAAAAAGTACCAAAAAGTCTCCTTTTATAGATTCTCATTTACTCCGTGCTCTACATGCTTAATTTCATGTTTCTAGGTTCAATATTATAGAAAATTCAAAAAGTACCTTTGGAAGAACGAAAAAGTGCCCTTTTTTCTTTTCTAGGTTTAATTTTAAAGAAAACTCAAAAAATACCTGTGTAGAACGAAAAAGTCCCTTTATTATTAATTTCATGTTTAGATTTCAATATCATAGAAAACTCAAAAAGTACCAGATGGAGAATGAAAAAGTACCAAATAACACCCCATTAGCATATTTAGTGTTTCTAAATCTAAAAATTTTATCCAAATTGGATGATTGTGTTTGAATAAAATCGAATTTCCCGTTTTTACCCCTTTTGGAACCTTTTTTCTTCTCATTAACGAAATAAAAATTCTATTCCAAAAAGTTGCAACATCGCAGTGCTAGTCCGTTATTATGTATTCATATGTATAAGTTAATAAACCAAAAACAATGTTTTATTAAAAAAAAGTACCAAAAATAGGTACAATTTTCACCTCTTAAACGTGCGAATATCCAAAAAGTATTAAATTCATATTTTTATTTTTTCGTCAAGTTATGAAGGAGTCAAAAATATTGTTTGAACATTCACTGGTTTAAAAGATACATGGGGTGTATAAAAGTACTAAAATACAGTTTTTACCCGTTTATTCCCTAAAGGGGCTGAATTTGAAAAAAGTACCACACACCTGTCCGCTTATTTGTGTACCCTCCACCACCATCAGTGGTGATACAGGATATATATAAGTTTGTCATTCCGTGTGTAACACCAAGAAATATTCATCTGAGACCCAACATATTATATACACTATCGGACAAAATAAAGTGCAAAAGTGCTCATGCTACATTATTTCATCGAAAAATCGGTTAAATGATTATTGAAAATGGAATTTTTTTTCAAAATCATTTAGTTTATATACAATGTTACAAAAATAACAATAAAACTAAATTATTGTGCTCAAAATTTTTCTGTATAACATCTAGAATTAAAATAAATTCACTTTTTTGTCGGACAAAATAAAGTGTAAATTTTATATATCATTATTTAAATTTCTTGTATATCAAAATTTTTTATCTATTTTGGTTCTGATTTGAATATCTGGATCTACTCAAGCCATTTTTGTAATTTTTTACCATTATTAATCGCAATCGCTTTCACTTTCCCTTGCTTTCTCCCATACTATTATTTTCAAAAGAAATCCGTTTTTGTTCGCTATTTCAGCGGAATTTTGTGATCAATTGTGGTCAAATATTAATCTATTAGATTTAGGGCGATGCTCTGAGCAGGTCATTCAAATTTTTCAGTGTTTTTTTTTCTTACAATAATGTTTTTGACCTTAGTCGTATGTTTGAAGTCATGAATCGGTTGAGGCATTAAGTCTCTCAAACCCATTTTTACGGCATTTATTTCAAAATTTTTATTAAATACGCTCGTGAATTGCTCATTTGTTATTGCTTACTCCATTTTCACTAAGATTCTCGCTCTTAAAGTTGAATAATGTAACAATACCGATAGCCCTCCACCATAATGTTTAAAACCTGGGGTATTGTTTTTAAAATTTTGTATATTGAAGGGCTTAACTCACACTCATTGTCGACATTTCAAAATTTTCGGTAGAAATTGGGACTCATCTGACCAACTACGTAAATTTGAGCTAAAAATTACGAAATTAAATACTAAAATCGAAAAAATTTTTAAGCTTTTAAATATGTTGGTGAAAGATTGAAGGTATGGGTCAGTTGACTCTTCGGATGTGTCCAATTTTTAACGTTAGGTGTGAGGAACCTAGGTGAAATTTATTCAAAAAGCTCCAATGAACACTATATAAGCATATTACAGTCAAATCATAAGATCAGTGCCTTCGAAATGGACTTGGGCAACTTTATATTTCGGCAAGATAATAAGCTTAAGCACTTGATAAAGTTAAAAAAATAACATTTCTGTAGGAAAAATCACGGAAAAATTGGAATGTCCTGCTCAGAGCACCGCCCTAAATCCAATAGATTAATTTTGGACCACAATTTATCAAAAAATTCCGATGAAATAGTGATCTAAAACGTATTTCTTTTGAAAATTATCATATGGGGATAGCAAGGGGAAGGGAAGGCGATTGCGAATAATAATGGAGAACAAAATTACCAAAATGGCTTAAGTAGATACAGATGTTAAAATCAGAACCAAAATAGATAAAAAATTTTGATATACAAGAAATTTAAATAATGATATATAGAATTTACACTTTATTTTGTCCGACAAAAAAGTGAATTTATTTTAATTTTAGATGTTATACAGAAAAATTGTAAGTACAATAATTTAGTTTTATTGTTATTTTTGTAGCATTGTATATAAACTAAATGATTTTGAAAAAAAATCCATATTCAATAATCATTTAACCGATTTTTCGCTGAAAGAATATACATGAGTACTTTTGCACTTTATTTTGTCCGATAGTGTATATTCTTGGTCCTTATGAAATTCTGAGTCGATTTATCTATGTCCGTCCGTCCGTCTGTCTGTGTAAAACACGCTCACGTAAAAACGAAGTGAAATAAATTATTGAAATTTGGTCAGAATATTCCCTATTGT